ATCGTCCTGTGTTGAAATATATATTTATATATTAGATAAATATAGTAAGAGAATAATGTGTGTTTCTTTGAATCTCAAAATTCTGTTTATAATAGATTTTAATAGCAGTATCTTAGCAATGTGTATTTCACAGTTCTGATAGCAAGTAGCTACGATGCACGCGACGCTACGTAACAGGATGAAGGTTCCTATGAAATTTCTACTTCAGTGGGTTTGAACGTAGAGATTTTTAAGGTTGACTTTAAGATATGTTTCGTACACTTGTTTGCCATATGCCATATTCCCAATAAATGTTCATCGTTACCGCATTTCTTTGCTTGTCGAAGATAGAATTAAACTTTTCCAATATGTTGGGAAAAGCACTGAGATTTCAATTTAATCAACAATAAGTAAAATACTCGTGTTAAACAAAAACGTATATTTCAATGGGTTACTTATTATAAAGTAAGCACAAAACGAATGTTACTGCCATCTATTGTTCCTATACCGAAACTGAATTTGTCTGTTAAGTTTCTGGCGTGACATTGGTGAGAATAGAAGGTCATACAGGATTTACATACGAATTTCGCGCAAAGCTGTGCTAGACTTTGTTTTTGAATTTAATTTTACCACTATTTCTTGTAAGAATGAACACCAGAGGAAACTATAGAAAATTAATGGAATACTTTCTTCTCAAGGCTTTCCTCTTACGTCTACCTCTCCACAATAAACATTAATTTCCAATTAATACACTGTGAAAGTAACTAACAAATTATCCCAAAAAGTTGATGCTCACCACAGTTGATCAAGGCTAAAAAAAAAAAAATCAAAGTTTAGATTCATAAAATCTGACCATACTTATATGAGAGCGAGATTTTTTTATGAAGCAAAATATAATTAATTAATTAAAATCGCACTACTATCGATTAACAGCATGTGTTAATTGATAAAGGCATTTTTTCAATGTGTTAAATGATAAAGGCATTTTTTTCAATGTGTTAATTGATAAAGGCATTTTTTCAATGTGTTAATTGATAAAGGCATTTTTTCAATGTGTTAATTGATAAAGGCATTTTTTCATTTCAATGGGTATTCATAACAGAATATCGTGTCGGACTATACGAGATTCATTCTTCTCTCTCTGTTACCCCCCAAAAAAATATTTAC